TCCCCAGGCTCATCATCAGGAACATCATCCCAATTCCCAGCCTGAACATCAACATGAACATCATGCCCATCGTGAACATCAGACTCAATCACAGGCTGAACGGGCTGACATACAACAGCTTTAGCACATTTTGTGTTCCTGGGCTAGAAATATATGTTCCTAATCATTACATAGTGTAACCAGTGTGTGCCTTGGGACATGCAGAGCACTGGGATGTGCTCGGAGACTCCCAGACTTTCCAACCGAGCTTCCAGAAGGTGAGGAAAGACTCTGGAGAGCTGTCACCGCTTCTCCTTTGTTTGTGTGTTGTTTATTATGATGCTTCTGTTCCACCGTTGAGCCAGGGATCGAAGGGTTGAAATGAATCTCCTCCGCCACCGCTTTCTACATCTCTCAAAGTTCCAAACATTGCTGACAGTGAAGCACATGTCATCCCCGAGTGTATGAAATGCTGACACCGCTGACGTTGGAGCCCTCCAACGCCGGACCTCGTCCTTCCCGGCCGCTCTTGTCGGAGAGCGTTACCGTCTGCATTACGAGTTGGGCTGCATCTGCCCCCAGGCCAAGGGGGCCCGTTCCCCACTCCCTTTGAGTTTCGGAGGCAATTCAACGCGCCCCGAAGTAATGGCAGTAACAAGGAGAAAGAGAGGCGAAAGGAGGAGGAAGAAAAACCGAGCGATCAATCTCAAGCACAAATGAGTCACTGGAGCACCTCCTTTGGCGCCCGCTATTTAGCCCATCGGAAGAGCATCGCTTGATGCGTTTGAAGGCTGGCTGTCTTTTTTGTGGCGGAAATGGACGCACCACCCAAAGGCCAGAAGCAAAGAGCTAGCCCTCGATTGGCAATGAAAGGGCAGCTAGTTGCGAAGAGGTCATGGAGAGCGGCCACTCCCAGCTTCAATGGACAGGGGCTGCTGGGATGTGCAGTCCAACGAGATATATTTATTATTATTATTTATTTCGTATACTTCTACCCCGCCCTTCTCAACCCCCGAAGGAGGACTCAGGACGGCTTACAAAAAAAAGGCACAATTCGATGCCTATACAACTTACACATAATATACAAAACCGTAGTTAAAAGCAGTTATCACAGTTAAAACAATCAAACAACCAGTACATAACACATCATATAAAACATCATATATACTATTCTCGTGCTCAGCGTTTCGTCTTTCAGAGTTCCATAGATCTAATCCATTAATCATTTCCTAGTCATCGTCAAAGCTCTTTCTTTATCTGCCTGATTATCTGAATGCCTGGTCCCAGATCCATGTTTTTAGTTTTTTCCTAAAGGAAAGGAGCGATGTTGCAGATCTAATTTCCCCGGGGAGTGGGGGGCCACCAGCGAGTAGGCCCTGCCCCTCGTCCCCACCAACCTCACTTGTGATAGAGGCGGGGTCGAGAGCAGGGCCTCCCCGGAAGATCTTAAACTCCGGGGTGGGACGTAGAGATCCGTTCGGACAGATACACTGGGCCGGAACCGTATAGGGTTTTGTAGGTCAAAACCAGCACTTTGAATTGTGCTCGGAACTGGATCGGCAGCCAGTGGAGCTGACACAACAGGGGGGTGGTATGCTCCCTGTATGACGCTCCGGTGAGCAATCTGGCTGCCTCCCGCTGGACTAGTTGGAGTTTCCGAGCAGTCTTCAAAGGCAACCCCACGTAGAGTGCGTTGCAGTAATCTAATCGGATGTAACAAGAGCGTGGACCACCGTGGCCAGATCCGACTTCCCAAGGTATGGGTGCAGCTGGTGCACAAGTTTTAATTGTGCAAATTAATTGTGGTGGATTTGACAAACATTGGCCAGGCCAGATGAGCAGACAGCCTTGCTTTCCATGAGGAAGTTGCATCTTGCCCTGACCTCACGCAGGATGCACAACAGATTGGATTTTGCTTGCATAACCAAGCAGGAGGGGGCCTCTTCTGGATGGTGATTGTATTGGCTGTGGATGAGCTCCTGGTTTCGGTTGCTTGAGGCACGCACGCCCCGGCTGCCCCAGTTGCCCTGTCAATACGGAAAAATACTGGTGGGCCCTACAGTCAATGGCATGGGTTCTTTCTTGCTGCTCCTTGAATGCCACGGGAACCTTGTGGAGGTGTTTCCGGACCTTTTTCCCAGCCCCAGTTCTTCCCAGAACCTTCTCTCTTTTCCGTACCAGCCTTGACTTTCTGCTTTGACATCAGGATGCATTGAGGGACAAGTCTCATCGGGAGGCATTGCTATTTAGGCCCCAAACCATATTGTTAAACAGGCTGGTTTTCCACTGTAAACACATCACGTTGTTGGTATCAGATTTTAGTAAATTTCTGGTATTCAGATACCTTTTTCTGTTGCCAATTTTTTTCATGACCCCCAACATTGCGCAAATGAGACCTCCTTAGGGGTCAGGGCCCACAGGTGAAGAAGCAGCAATCGAGAGCATTGAGCAGATTGAGGGAAGGGTTCAGCACCACGGACAGCTCCACCACAGGCTCTCCTGTGGGGTGGCTGTGCCCTGCCCTGCGTTGCTGTAGCTCAGTCTGTGTATATGTGTTTTGTGTGTGTATATATTTGTGTATATGTGTTTGTTTGTGTGTGTGTGTGTATATATATATGGTCCGATATTGAGCCATGCAGGAGTAATTTAAAATCGAAACGATTTTTTCAATTTATTTCGTAATTGTTTCTTAATTGTTTCGTAATTGTTTCATAATTATTTTCGCATTTTTTCAGCATATTTTTAGCATATTTGGAGGGTTTTTTTGCATATTGCGCAATCGCGTCCGCCATTAACGAATCAATTCGAAATTTACAAAATTTTGTAAATTTCGAAATTTTTTAAAGAAAAATTTCGGAATTCTTTTAAAAATCGAAACACAAAAAACCCCTAAAAATGAAACGAGTTTAGAAACAAATTTTTCCGTTGTTACACAGCCCTAGTGTATATATGTGTGTGCATATATTTGTGTGTTTGTGTGTTTATATGTGTACACGCATATTGTGTATATGCGTGTATATATTTGTGTGTATGTGTTTGCATATGTGTATGTATATATTAGGGCTGGGTAACAACGGAAAAATTTGTTTCTAAACTCGTTTCGTTTTTAGGGGTTTTTTGTGTTTCGATTTTTAAAAGAATTCCGAAATTTTTCTTTAAAAAATTTCGAAATTTACGAAATTTTGTAAATTTCGAATTGATTCGTTAATGGCGGACGCGATTGCGCAATATGCAAAAAAACCCTCCAAATATGCTAAAAATATGCTGAAAAAATGCGAAAATAATTATGAAACAATTACGAAACAATTAAGAAACAATTACGAAATAAATTGAAAAAATCGTTTCGATTTTAAATTACTCCTGCATGGCTCAATATCGGATCGTAAGCTAATTTAAATATGAATTAATAACGAATTACGAAATTAACAAACGAAACCGCCCAGCCCTAATATATATATATATATATAGAGAGAGAGAGAGAGAGGTGTATATTTGTGTGTGTATATATATGTGTGTGTGTATTTTTGTATTTCTGTGTTTATATGTGTACATGCATATTGTATATATGTATGTATATATTTGTGTATATGTGTTTGCATATATATATATCTAGGTGTATATTTGTGTGTATATATATATCTGTGTATATATTTATGTATTTATGTGTTTTTATGTGTACATGCATATAGTATATATGTGTGTGCTTGTCTATATGCATATTGGTGTGTATATATGTATGCATGTGTGGATATGTATATGAGCATGTGTATATGTATATATGCATGTATATGTATGTGTGTGTGAATTTGTGTGTGTTTGTGCATATATATATATATATACGTGTGTGTATGAATGTGTGCATGTGAATATGTATATGAGTGTATGTGTATATTTACATATGGTGTATTTTGGGGGGGGAGTTAAGTCTGTTCTGCTGGTGTTTTGTGTGTGTGTGTGTGTGTGTATATATATAGGTGTGTATATATATGTGTGTATATATTTGTGTGTTTGTGTGTTTATATGTGTACATGCATATTGTGTATATGCGTGTATATATTTGTGTCTATGTGTTTGCGTATGTATATATATATATGTGTGTGTGTGTGTGGGTGTATATTTGTGTGTGTGTATATATGTGTGTGTGTATTTGTGTATTTCTGTGTTTATATGTGTACATGCATATTGTATATATGTATGTATATATTTGTGTATATGTGTTTGCATATATATATATATATAGGTGTATATTTGTGTGTATATATATATCTGTGTATATATTTATGTATTTGTGTGTTTATATGTGTACATGCATATAGTATATATGTGTGTGCTTGTCTATATGCATATTGGTGTGTATATATGTATGCATGTGTGGATATATGTATATGTGTGAGCATGTGTATAATATATGCATGTATATGTATGTGTGTGTGAATTTGTGTGTGTTTGTGCATATATATATACGTGTGTGTATGAATGTGTGCATGTGAATATGTATATGAGTGTATGTGTGTATTTACATATGGTGTATTTTGGGGGGAGTTAAGTCTGTTCTGCTGGTGTTTTGTGTGTGTGTGTGTGCATGTGCATGTGTGTTAATGGGTGATTAACACTCGTTGGACTGTTAGGTGTCTTGTGTCCAAATTTGCTGTCAATTTTTCAAATGGTTTTTGAGTTCTGTTCATCCCACAAACGAACATTACATTTTTATTTATATAGATTTATTATTGTTGTTATTGTTTACTTATTTATTTACTTACTTACTTATTTACTATATTTCTATCCCACTCTAAAGCACACAACAGACGCACCCAAAGGCTGAGAGAGAGTGGCCAAAGAATCACTCCTGACCACAAATGTTGTCAAGTGTTTAAAGAGGGCTCTCTGTCTTCAGAATGCTCCCAGCTCCTCTCCTTGTGTGTTTCCTTCTCCTGTTGACGATGGCCTAGTGCGGCCCAACACAGGAAAACCAGACTTCCTCTTTTCGCTTAGGAAGTCATGTTGGTTCGTTCTTTTTCCAGGTTCAGCCCAAGGGGGGTGAAGCCCCTCCCGGAAGAGGAGGCCGACAAAGAGCCCGAGGCCCCACAGCCACTGCCCGCGCTCCCTCCGACCCACAGCGAGAGCGGAGAGTCCATGGGGTGAGTGAGTCCTGAGCCGGACCGGGCTTTGGAGTGAAATCCCAGTCAAGGAGGATGCTGGGCCCATGTTGGGGTTCAACCTGCGTGTGAACCTGATTCTCTGATTGCTGAACCTGCACCTGATTCTCTGATTGTATTTCCTGTTGCTACTGAACATGTATTTTTCCCTGATGGTAATGAAAATGTTGATTCTGAGGTCAGTGGCTTGGAAAGTGAAACTACACATTCTGATGAGAATGTTGCAGAGCCAAGCGGTGATAGCTCTCCAGAGGAGCTCACACCTGGCTTCCTTAATGAGGATAGAAAAGGACAGATTTGGAAAAACAGGAGTGAATCGCAGAGTCTGCGAAGGTCGAGCAGATTAAGGGAAAAGGAAACACAGGTTTCAAAGCCTGGAGGCGTGTCACGAAACAGTTTCTTCAGTTTTAAGTGCCTCTTGCCGGGTTGTCTCGTTAGATCAGGCATCGTTTAGACTGAGGCATTACCTTGGCAGATTTCCCTGTTTCCCGTGGCCTACATCCCAAGAGGCTTTTAGTGCTCCCAAGTACGGTTAGTGATTTGCTAACAGGTTCCAGGTTTTTACAGTGTTGCTTTTGGAATTTTGACCTAATTCATGGATATTCCTGACTGCTGATTTTTACTGTGGCTTTTTGACTTTGCATTTTCCTCTATTTTGTAACCATTTTTATCAATAAAAAGGGATTGTTTTTTCCCACAGTCAAGTGTGGTGGATTGTTATCTTATGGTCTCGTTTCTTGCTCTGGGTTGCAACAGCCCAGCCCCACAAGAGGCAGCCGCCTCACGGACCCCCCACCCACCCCACAGACCTTTTCAGTGAGCATTCAATCCCTTTCTCTCCCAGGGAAGAAGCTGGGGAAGAAGCTGCCCCAAGTGCCACTGGAGAAGAGGTTTCGCTGAAGGAGCCCGCAGAGCCCGTGGCAGCAGAACCTAGTGTCTCCGGTCAGTCGCTACGCCATGCAATCGCTACCGAGGTCAGTCGCTACGCCAAACACATCCTCACTCTATCACATTGCCTTCTGGCGTTGACCATGTGCGCTATCACACTAGAGCTGAAAAAGTAGGCAAAGAGTAGGCATCCCATCTGAAATCCTGGGACTTTGATTTATCGTATCAGAAGTGAACCAAGGGCAGGGGCGGCTCAACCCTTACGCAAAGTAAGCATTTGCGGTATACTTGATTTTGCCCAGGGTGCGCTCTTGAGGCGCTCTTGGGGGAAAGTAGACCTTGACATATGCGAGTTGTGGTTACTGGGATGTATAGTTCACCTACAATCAAAGAGCATTCTGAACTCCACCAATGATGGAATTGAACCAAATATGGCACACAGAACTCCCATGACTCCCTTCTCATGCACCTTATTTCTGCTCTTCTGCTTTCTTAGTGCTTGACGGCAGCTGCGGAAGAAGCAGGGAAGGAGCTCCCAAAGAAGAGCCCACCGGAGGCCAGGGAGGTCTTGTGGTGCGTGGACTCCGAGGAGCAGCACCTGACCGGCGTAGAAGAAGTGAGCAGATGGGCCCCATGGGATGGTGGGGGGCACACATCCAGTTCCAACTGCATTATAATGGCCAGTGTAGACCAGGCATGGCCAACTTGGGCCCTTTTGGACTTCAACTCCTATCGGCTGTTAGGAATTGTGGGAGTTGAAGTCCAAAACACCTGGAGGGTCCAAGTTGGCCCATGCCTGGTGTAGACTCATATAATGCAGGTTGAACCACAATGAGCTAAATTATATGAGTCTACACTGCCATATAATCCAATTCTGTGCAGTTAACCTGAATTCACCGCTTTGAGTCGCCTGAGGGCTGAGAAAAGCGGTATAGAAATAAAGTAAATAAATAATGATAAATTCTGAAACTGGGTTATAGTGTCACAAATACTTTCTGAAACTTAAAAATGTTATTTAATCCACTTTCAATGGAAAAAATACAACTTTCAGAGAAAGAAGTAGACACATAGACTTCAGTACTGGGCTTTATATATTGGTTACCCAGACAAAGGGGAAGCCTCACCTATACTCAGCACTCACTCCAAGTACGTTCAACGTTCATACTCACCATCCCTTCTCCATCCAGGCCTAATGCTGCTTGGAGAAGAGAGGGAAGTGGACAGTGCTGCATCTCTTCAGGTTTAGCACACATACAAATTCTTCGCCTCCTTTGTGAAAACTCCATTTTCCAAGTTTCATTTTTGGGAGGTGTTGCACTCCAGAACAGGAATAACCCTCTGATTTTAGAACATCACACATTGAGTAGGAAAACAATCCTTTTTTATTGAAGGTAAGTAAAAGCAACAAAGTAGAAAAACACTTTAAGGGAATAGGTAAATCCAATTAGGTAAGAAGATAAGCAGGAACCAATTAGTCCAAGGTAGGGTTCAGCAAAGTTCAAAAACAAAATCCAGACTTCTCTAATAAAATCCAAAAAACAGGGAAACGTTGGTCCAAAGCATGAATAGATAATCACAAGAGACAAAGAGTCAAACCATACAGCAAGTAATCCTTAAACATTGATCTTCCAGACAATGCTTCATCTGACTATATTTCCCATGGTTGGAACTTTATATCCCTTCATCAGAAATTGGTTTCATTTTCCCTGAATGCCTCTCATCCTTATCTGTCGAAGCCTGGCTGAACACCAAAGGCCTTGGTCGAGCTGTCTGTTTTGGCTAATTTCCACCCGCCTATCTATATGCGAATCAATAACTGTTGACCACAAGGCGGATGGTGGTGAATTTGTGATTTACCTTGATGAATTGGCTTTATGTAATTCTTGATCTGTATTTTAATGTGTTTAATGTATTAATTAAGGTAAAGGTAGTCCCCTGACATTAAGTCCAGTCGTGTCTGACTCTGGGGTGTGGTGCTCATCTCCATTTCTAAGCCGAAGAGCCAGCGTTGTCCGTAGACACCTCCAAGGTCATGTGGCCGGCATGACTGCATGGAGCGCCGTTACCTTCCCGCTGGAGCGGTACCTATTGATCTACTCACATTTGCATGTTTTCGAACTGCTAGGTTGGCAGAAGCTAGGGCTGACAGCGGAAGCTCACACCGCTCCCCAGAATCGAACCTGCGACCTTTCAATCAACAAGCTCAGCAGCTCAGTGCTTTAACCCACTGTGCCACTGGGGCCCCCCGTATTAATGTACTATGATGTTATTATGTTTTAGTTTATTTGTATATTGATTCTCTGTTGTTAGCCGGCCTGAGTCCCTCCTTGGAGGTCGAGAAGCTCTAAATAAATAAATAATAATAAATTAGTTTCTGCAGGTGCCGAGTTGTTTTCAAGCCCCAAATCCTGGGAACTCTCTGGAAACAATTCAGGGAGTAAACCATCATCCCTATCCCCTGTAGGAACATTCTCATGGGAAACTACACTTTAAACCGGCGTCTCTATGTCATTCTCTGCATCAATATCCCTGACCAAACCATTGCCATCTTGAACGTCATTGATATCATTCTGCACATCCAAAGCACCTTGATCTTGAAGCACAATCACTGGCTGAATTCCAACAGGAGGGTGTCTTCAGCCTTGCCAGACATTTATAGACCTCAGCCAGACCTCAAACATACTGTTGCAACTCAGGGTAGCTTTCACCTTGCTCCAGACACCACCACACCAAAGCTGTAGGTTTTGTGGTTTATTGAGAAAAAGGCAAAATCAAAACAAAGTATAAGAAATGCAAAAGTTCCATAGGCAGGACAAAGACAAAGGTCCCAATATCCAAAAGCAAAAACATGAAGCATAATCCTTTAGCAATGGTCAAACAAGAGTCCATGGAAAACAGTTGAAAATAAGGCCTAAATCCCAGACTCAGGAAGCCAGAAGCATGCTACTAAAAGCCAAAGTTAATCCACAGAAGTTTGCATGGGAAGAGCTACGTTGGACTGACAACCCCTGCTTGTCAGCTACAAGGCTAAATACCCTTTGCGGACATTAACGCATTGCGTTGCCCTCTGGCACCCTTGGCTTCTCGCTTGCTAGCCAAGCGAGTGCTTCTCCAGAGCCTTAATTGCAGATGATCTTGCCTGCTCATTAATTCATTATCTTCAAGGCTCTGCAACCCCTTATCTTGGTCCAGCTGGACCGGATCACTGTGGGGAGGAAAAGACGTCTCCACCTGGCCGTGTAGGATTTCACTCTCGTTATCAGTCTCACTAGCATTCCTTTCCCCTGGGAACTGACTTGCTGGTTCTTCTTCAGCAGCCCCACCGTCAGCCCTGTCTGAAGGATGTACAGAAATCTGTAACCCATCCTCCTCCTCATCATCCTGTAGGAATTCTGGCTCAGAAGGCCCAAAGAGCTCAGCTTCAGACTCAGAGTCAAGCTGAGTCACAACACATACAATGGATCCCATCCATGTGTCACACCTGCAGCTCTGCCTTCTTTTGCTGCTCCAGGGGATTGCCATTCCTGGTGAGGGGTCAGGCATGTCCACTGCTTGGGAGACTGTCCCTCATGCTGCAATTCCCTCTCTTTTTCCTGCCAGGTGTTCGACATCATGCCCCTCTTTGGGACCCTGCTTCCCAAAGAGACCCAGAAGATGTCCTTCACCTTCTACGGCCACGCCGACATCGTCGCTCGCGTGAAAGCCCTCTGCGAAGTGGAAGGGGGCCCCACCTACGAAGTCTTCCTGAGTGGAGAGGCCTCCCTGGTCAGCTACGCCTTCGACCGGAAGGAGATTGACTACGGACTTCAGGTAATGCTTTAGAGCCTACGTCACTCCTGCTGTGGTTTGCTATCCAGGCCTCTCTGCAACTCAAATAATAAAACCAAGGGACCATCCGTTGAGCTCTTGGAGACAGATGTTGTGCTGGTACGGCTGTACCTAGACCCTGTACCCCTTACGCAAAGTAAGCATTCGCAGTAGAATTGATGTTGTCCAAGGTGCGCTCTTGAGGCGCTATTGGGGGGAAATAGACATATGCGAGTTGTAGTTACAGGGATGTATAGTTCACCTACAATCAAAGAGCATTCTGAACTCCACCAATGATGGAATTGAACCAAATATGGCACGCAGAACTCCCACGATGAACAGAAAATATATTTCAGTGATTGGTTGGGGGGCGGAGCGCATGCCAAAATACTGTTTGCTTATCATTGAAAATTACCTAGGGCCAGCTCTGGTTTCAGGGTTTATACAATAGAGGTGTGCATTAGATTTGATGGCGCATTAGACCTGAGTCAATACAGTATTCCTAAGAGAGACACTGGCCTTGTGTGGGCTGTGCGCTTTCCCCGGGGTCTTATTTCTCCAATAGTTTGCTACCCTTGACCTCTTCCTGGGTCCTTGACAATCCACATCTCATTCAGGATGTTCCCTTTTTCTCTCTCTCAGCTCTTCAACCACATTTCCGTGGCGGAGATTGTTCTGAGGAACACAGGGAAAGTTGGGTTTGCGTACTCAGTCCTTGACAACGTCTTGGCGTCTGCTGAAAGCCCTCCGCCTGGAGTTCCCCTGACGCTGCCTGTGACGGTGAGTGGGAACGGACACGGCTCTGGTGTAACACACGGTTGCACTTCTTCAATGTTTTTATGAGTGATGGTCACTCGTTGGCCTGAGAGGTGTCTTGTGCCCAAATTTGGTGTCAATTCATCCAATGGTTTTTGAGTTCTGTTAATCATAGAATCATAGAATCAAAGAGTTGGAAGAGACCTCCTGGGCCTTCCAGTCCAACCCCATTCTGCCAAGAAGCAGGAATATTGCATTCAAATCACGCCTGACAGATGGCCATCCAGCCCCTGTTTAAAAGCTTCCAAAGAAGGAGCCTCCACCACAAACAAACATTACATTTTTATTTATATAGATACTAGCTGCACCTGCCACACATTGCTGTGGCCAACCTTCCCTCCCTCTTTCCCTCTTTCTCTCCTTCTTTCTTTCTCTTCTTCCTTCCTTTTTTTCTTTCCTTCTCTTCTTCCCTTCCTTCTCTTCCTCTTCCCTTCCTTCCCCCCTTTTCTTTCCATTCTCCTTTCCCCCCTTTCTTCCTTCTCTACCTATTGTTGCAACCCAGATCAGGAAACGAGACCATAAGATTAAATCCACCACACTTGACTGTAGGAAAAAACAATCCTTTTTATTGATAAAAAATGGTTACAAAATGGAGGAAAATAAAAAGTCCCAAAAGCCACAGTAAAATTCAGCAGTCAGGAATATCTCTGAACTAGATCAAAATTCCAAAAGCAACACTAGAAAAACCTGGAACATGTTAGCATCTCATTAACCGTACTTGGAAACTAGAAGCCTCTGGGAATGCAGGCCATGAGAAACAGGAAATCTGCCAAGGTAATGCCTCAGTCTAAACGATGCTTGAACTAACGAGAGAGCCCGGGGAGAGACATTTAAAACTAAAGAAACTGTTTCAGGACACGCCTCCAGACTTTGAAGCCTGTGCCTCCCTTTCCTTTAATCTGTTTAACCTTCGCAGACTCTGCGATTCACTCCTGTTTTTCCAAATCTGTCCTTTTCTATCCTCATTAAAAAAAGGCAGGTGCTAGCTCCTCTGGAGAGCTATCACCGCTTGATTCAGAAACATTCCCATCAGGATGAGTAGTTTCACTTTCCAAGCCACTGACCTCAGAATCAACAGTTTCCAAACCTTCAGGGACAAATTCATGTTCAGTAGCCTGTTCAGTGGCATCAGGAAATGCAATCAGAGAATCAGGTTCAGGTTCACGCGGAGGCTGGACCCCAACACCTATCCTTGGACTGCAACTCCCAGCAGTTCTCCTGATCGATCTATCTACCTACCTATTTATCTTTATCTAATCTAGCTAGTATCTGGAGGATTGATGGGAGTTGCAGTCCAGGAATAGGAAATTGGAAATATGAATGGATTGCAATGCTCTCAAATCCAAGGAGAAGAAAGCTTGCATCTTGGACGCAGTGCATTTGGATCATCCTCCTCTCCTAAAGGGCGTGGTCTAGGGGATGCTGGGAGCTGTAGTCCGGAAGCAAGTGTGGATGATATGCTATTGTGTGTTTTGTTTGCCGGGGATCGTTTTTGCGCATGTGTTGTAGCGTCTTTTTGCTTTTTTGCCTTTTTTGGTCCCTTCTGCTGTGTTTTTCAGTGTTTATATGAGTGATGGCCACTCGTTGGCCTGAGAGGTGTCTTGTGTCCAAATTTGGTGTCAATTCATCCAGTGGTTTCTGAGTTATGTTATCCCACAAACAAATATTACATTTTTATTTATATAAATTGATTGATTTATTATTTACAACATTTATACTCCGCCCTTATCGCCCCTAAGGGGACTTAGAGCGGCTTACAAGATATATATACATACAATATATTATATTATTAGTGTTGCAACCCAGAGCAGAAAAGGAGGCCCTAAGATAACTATCCACCACACTTGGCTGTGAAAAAAACAATCATTTTTTATTGATGAAAAATGGTTACAAAATAAAGGAAAAATGCAAAGTCAAAAGCCACAGCAAAATCAGCAAACATGAATGTCCATGAACAAGATCAAAACCCAAAACCACACTGCAAAATACTGGAACCTGTTAGCAATCCTCTAACCGTACTTGGTGTCCTAGAAATCTTTCAAGACGATGGCCAAGGAAACTGGGAGAACTGCCAAGGTACTCATCAATCTAAAACGATGCCTGAACTGAGAAAGTCAGCCCGGCGGAAGGCACTTAAAGCCGAGGAATTGGTTTTGTGAAACGCCTCCCTGCTTTGAAGCCCTTGTTTGTATTTCTTTTAATCTGGAAGACCTTCGCAAGCTGAGTGATTTACTTCTGTCTTGCCAGATCTGGCCCCTTCTATTCTCATTAAGGTTCCCAGGTGCAGAAGGGAGTGAAAGGTCATGGCTTCCCTCTGAAACATTCTCATGAACACTGGTACTTTCATTTTCCAAATCTACAGAAGTTTCTTCCTCACTAATTTCAGGAGCATTGACATCAAGAAGTACATTTTCATTAGCATCAGGAAGTACATTTTCATTAGCATCAGTAAATATATTTTCATTAGCATCAGGAGGTACAAACAGAGAATCAGGTTCAAACTCAGGCTGAACCCCAACAATTAGCATATCACAATATCAGTATTATATATTACTATATTGTACTATACCATTATATTGTAATATTATTAGTAATATTACATGTAATATAAAATATAGAATTATAATATATTATTATTAGTATTATTATATTGTATTGCATTATAATATTATAAATACTATGTGTATCTTAATAAAAATGTAATGTTCGTTTGTGGGATTAACAGAACTCAAAAACCACTGGACGAATTGACACCAAATTTGGAAACAAGACACCTAACAACCCAATGTATGTCCTTCACTCAAAAAAGTTGATTTTGTCATTTGGGAGTTGGAGTTGCTGGGATTTATAGTTCACCTACAATCAAAGGGCATTCTGAACCACACCAACGATGGAATTGAACCAAACTTGGCACACAGTTCTCCCATGACCAAGCTGAAGCAATGGAGCATATTTCTCTAATTTATTCCAATGACAGAATCTGACACTATTGGCAGGAGAACTCATCTTTGGGTTTCTTGGTTTTTCAAAATGCAAGGATGTGCTCATGCAGCCTGTTTATTAGGGCTGGTCAATTCGTTTCGTTAATTCGTAATCCGTAAAAAAATTCGTTATTTTTTGAATTACGAAACGATTACAAAACTTTTTTTTTAACCTGGAAGTGTTTTTAAATATCGAAACGGCAGGTGCCAAAAAATTTTGTATTTCCGTCCATTTCGGAAATACGTAAGATGGCCGCCTGCCGATGCTTGCTGGGAGCTCTCCTCTCTCGGCGCCGGCTGTGTGGAAGTGCTCTCAGACAACTTAGCTCACAGCAGATATGGTGAGGTTTTCTGCCTTGATATCCTGAGATATAGGGCTGTGTGGAAGGGCCCTGAGAGAGTTTATTAACCCAGAAGGTGGGGGGAATAAGGCATGGCAATTTTCCCGCCTGAGGGGCAAAGCGAGCGCGCGCGACCCTCTGAGGCCACCCTATTGGCTGGAGGGGGGGGACGTCCGAAGGCGGGAAAAAGAGGGGGAGAGGGAGGGCGGAGAAAGGAGCGGAGCCTCGAGGGGGAGCCCCGGCTTCTCTGCCGCCGCCTCTTCATTCCTCTTCTGGAGAAGGAGCGAGCGGTGCGGCTCCGGAGCAATGGCCGCGTTCCTCGGTGGCGCAGGAGGAGGAGGAGGCGGAGGAGGGAGCCTCGGGAGCGGGGTTTGCCCGTGGCCACGCTCCCCTCCGGGCTCGGCGCTGGGCTGGGAGCCGCTGTTGCCGGGGCTGCAGATCCACTCGCGCTCGGTGGAGCAGACGCTGGTGCCGCTGGTGGCGCAGGTATTGCCCGCTCCAACCCAGCCCTCCCCCTTCATTGTCCACTTTGAAGGCTCCTTCTCCTCCCGCCCTCCCTATTTGGGACCCTTTCTGTGCCCACACACACACACACACACCCAGAAAGGGACCGCTCCGTTCCCCTTTCGGCCGAAGCGCCTTCAAACGGGGAAGGACTTTGTGTCTTTTGAAGGGCAGCCAGCCAGCCATCCATTCACCCCGGCCTTTGCTGTTTGGCTTGGCATTTGGGGCGCTTCTTTCTTTCACATAACTTTCCCTCATTCTTTTTTCTCCTCCTTTCGACTGTAATCCTTTTTAAAGAGCCTGTGACTAACTTCCGCAAAAGTTTGGCGCTTCGGGCGAAAAAAGTTTCTGCTATTGTTGTTGCTGCCAGGCTCCGTTGCTTTGTGTGGCTTGGTGAATATTTAAAAATATTGGAAAAAAAAGGGCGCCATCTTTACAAAATGTTTTGTAAATATTAACGAAATTTCGTTAATACCGAACTTTTTTTTTGGAAAATTTTGTAATTATTTTAAATAACGAAACAAAAAAACACCCCAATTACAAAACGATTACAAAACCAAATTTTTGCGTTGTTACCCAGGCCTACTGTTTATCACTGGCTAATGTTGTGTCTTGCTGATCCCGACTGTTTTCTAAGGCTGGGAAAATGCAAGGGAGTGCAGTCGCGCTGAGGGCACGGCGTCCTTCCTGCGTTGCCTTTCCTTCCTTCCTTCCTTGCAAAGGCCCACCAGAAGGATGCAGTTGCCTCTCCGCCTGCCGACAGCATGAGGCTCCTTTCTGCCTCTTCAGCAGCCTCCTTCTCCCTCTTCTAGAGTTATATCGCATCAGGAAAGGAGCAGGTGCTGAAGATCTATTACCTGCCGGGCGTTCCCGAGGTCTTCCAAAGGACGTTCCGGATCCAAGTGGCCCACCTGGAACCCGACAGGATCACCTTGAAAGGGGAGGGCATCTTCCCCAGGATCTGCCTGGATCTGCCCAGGAACTTCCGAGGTAGAGGCAACTATATCAGAACCACTATATTTATGGTCAGGTCCAATCTGGAACCATAGCGTATGTCATTTGGGAAGATATACAGGAGGGTAAAACAGGAGGAATTAAAAATAAACGAGAGACCTATACGGAATGGATAGAAAGTGGTGAAGCCAATGTAAATAATATACAGAAACTCAGGAAATAGTGCACATGGTTAAGGATAATGTTGTGTCCAAGCTGGAACCACAGACACAGACTGATAGTGTTGTGACTCAGATGGGGTCTCAGAGTGACTCTGACGAGGATGATGGGATTCAGGTTCACAATCAGGTTCAAAATGTTCCTGTTGCAGACAATGAGGAACAGGGTGTGCAAGTTCAGTTTCCCACAGCAGGGAAGGATGTTTTGATACTGAAACTAGCCAGGTGCAGATTGACTCAGAAAAGGAGGACAGTTCTCAGCCTGGGAGTAGGCAAAAAGGCAACCAGGCAGACACTAATGAGCAGCCTGACCTTGTGGAAACGGGAACTTTATATCAGGCTGACCGTTTGGAATTCAGAGTTCGAAGGAGTGTGAGAATAGCCAACAAGAAGGAGGTCAGCAGCCTGACCTTAATGATACGGGAAGCTTAGATTGGGCTGACCGTTTGGAATTCAGAGTTCGAAGGAGTGTGGGAATAGCCAACAAGAAGGAGGTCAGCAGCCTGACCTTGATGAAACGGGAAACTTAGATAGGGCTGACCGTTTGGAATTCAGAGTTCGAAGGAGTGTGAGAATAGCCAACAAGAAGGAGGTCAGCAGCCTGACCTTAATGATACGGGAAGCTTAGATTGGGCTGACCGTTTGGAATTCAGAGTTCGAAGGAGTGTGGGAATAGCCAACAAGAAGGAGGTCAGCAGCCTGACCTTGATGAAACGGGAAACTTAGATAGGGCTGACCGTTTGGAATTCAGAGTTCGAAGGAGTGTGAGAATAGCCAACAAGAAGGAGGTCAGCAGCCTGACCTTGATGATACGGGAAGCTTAGATCGGGCTGACTGTTTGGAATTCAGAGTTCGAAGGAGTGTGAGAGTAGCCAACAAGAAGGAGGTCAGCAGCCTGACCTTGATGAAACGGGAATCTTAGATTGGTCTGACCGTTTGGAATTCAGAGTTCGAAGGAGTGTGAGAGTAGCCAACAAGAAGGAGGTCAGAGGCCAAAGAAATGCTTTCATGTATTGCAAAGGGTATTAAGTAGTGGGTTTGAACGCAAACCTTTATCAGAGCAACTTCTTGCTCAACCAAGCAGCTTGTGCTCATTTTTCCTGTGTCCATGGTCTTGGGATGTTCTCATGGGACTTTGCTTCATTGAAGCCATTTGGAATTCTGCTTTACAGTGCTATGTTTTATTGATCTTTGGAACATTATTTGCTTTTTAAACTTTTCATCTTTACTTATTAATAAACTACAAAAACTTCAGTCTGAGTGCAGTTCTGGTGATTTCAGCAAGGTGAATCTATTCTGAGGTGCAGGTTAAGTTGCAGTCAAAAGAATTGTAAACATATGCATTATATATGTTATACCAATATTCAAGGACATGGACATTAGATGCTGATGTGTATATGCAGCAGACGAAAGTAAGTGTAATTAATATGATAGAAATCTGAAATTTTATACATATATACACATACATACATACATTTTGAGTAAAGATAGAGGAGGATAGAAAAGGGAGTATCCCCTCCACTCGCCATTGGCTGAGAAGAGCGGTATACAAGTGAAGTAAATATAAGGACCACAGAGGCAAAGGCTTCCCATCTCATTCCATCTCTGACATCTGGAGGCTGAGCTCCATCTTCCATGCTCCATCTTCCATGCCGAGGAGCTTTGTTGTCTTTAGACGCTCTCCTGATCGAATTGCTGGCATATCCGCATGGCGCCTTTTATTACCTCACCACCAATGCGGTATCTATTGATCTGCTCACATTACTGTTTTTGAACTGCTAGGTGAGCAGAAGTTGGGCTGACGGTTGGAAGCTGACCCCAACCCAGGCTTGAACTGTCGACCTTTCAATTGTCAAGATTTTCTGCAGCTCATGGTTTAACCCGCTGTGCTAAAGCCCGGCCCTATATCCCAATGCGACAAGGTCTGTGCCCCTTCCTTCCCCTTTGCTCTGCTCCTGACAGCCCTTCCTCTTTTGCAGGAAATGAACGGTACAGCACGCTCCTCAGGGAAGCCCGGCAGCGGATGGAGCAGGAATCGCAGAAGGATTCCGTCAGCAACTCGGAGGAAGCGCCCACGGAGGAGCCGGTAAGGCCAGATCTCCCTCTGTCCTCTACCTCTTGGTTTGTGAACTGAGCCAGGAAGCGTTACACAGCAGCCATTTTTAAGGACATAGAATAGGGCTCCTCAATCTTGTTAAGCCAAGAATCCTAGAATCCAGTCCAACCCCATTCTGCCAAGAAGCAGGAAAATTGCATTCAAATCACCCCTGACAGATGGCCATCCAGCCTCTGTTTAAAAGCTTCCAAAGAAGGAGCCTCCACCACACTCCCTCCGGGGCAGAGAGTTCCACTGCTGAACGGCTCTCACAGTCAGGAAGTTCTTCCTCATGTTCAGATGGAATCTCCTCTCTTGTAGTTTGAAGCCATTGTTCCATTGCGTCCTAGTCTCCAAGGAAGCAGAAAGGAAGCTTGCCCCCTCCTCCCTGTGGCTTCCTCTCACATGCTATCATATCTCCTCTCAGCCTTCTCTTCTTCAGGCTAAACATACCCAGCTCTTAAGCCGCTCCTCATAGGGCTTGTTCTCCAGACCCTTGATCTGCTCTCTCCTCCCTGTCTTCCTCTCACATATTTATACATGGCTCTCATCATGTCTCCTCTCAGCCTTCTCTTCTTCAGGCTAAACATGCCCAGCTCCTTAAGCCACTCTTCATAGGGCTTGTTCTCCAGACCCTTGATCTGCTCTCTCCTCCCTATAACTTCCTCTCACATATTTATACATGGCCCTCATCATGCCTCCTCTCAGCCTTCTCTTCTTCAGGCTAAACATGCCCAGCTCCTTAAGCCACTCTTCATAGGGCTTGTTCTCCAGACCCTTGATCTGCTCTCTCCTCCCTATAACTTCCTCTCACATATTTATACATGGCCCTCATCATGCCTCCTCTCAGCCTTCTCTTCTTCAGGCTAAACATGCCCAGCTCCTTAAGCTGCTCCTCATAGGGCTTGTTCTCCAGACCCTTGCTCATTGGGGGCTGTTGGGGGCTGAACTAGAGTTTGAAAGGAACATGAACACATTCCTCTGCACAAGGGTTTGCACCAGATGTATAAGATAATGAAAGCATGAATGGAACATTGCATCGTGCAAGTGTATATAAGAACACCAACAGAGTAAGTTGCGGTTGGGTGATGTGATGATGAATGGTGAATTGGAGGATGCTGGAGAGAGCTGTGGATAATGTAAATACCTGTAACATAAGGTAACACCATCCTGTGGAAAGAAGCTCCTGTGTTTGTTGTTTGTTGCAAGTATGGCTCATACTATAGACCAGTGATTCTCAACCTGGGGTCCCCAGATGTTTTGGCCTTCAACTCCAGAAATCCTAATAGCTGGTGAACTGGCTGGGAATTATGTGAGTTGTAGGCCAAAACACCTGGGGACCCCAGGTTGAGAACCACTGCTATAGACAGTACTTTAATATTGCTTGGAGGGTTGAACAGAGAAACTCTGCTTCAGGTTAAAGAATTCCTGAAAAACTTCCCAGTGTTTCAACCAACATAAGCTTCCCAGTATTTTGAGTGACGAGAGAGTCAAGTTAATTGGGATTGTTGTTGTTGTTGTGTGCCTTCAAGGCATTTCAAACTCAGGGCGACCCTATATTTCCTATATTTTATCAATCAAAATTGTTTTGGGAAAACAAGAGATGGAGAGGGGAGGAGTCATCCTATTGGAGGGTGCTCAACTCCCATGATGCCCTTCTGCCCACCCCACCATGTTGAAAGTGGAAGGGCGGCTTGCTGACTGTTGTCTTCTTGGCTTCTACAGATGGATGCCCAGCTGCAAATGGAAGTGGAGAGGCTGCTGATCCAAGAGCATGCCCTGGAGCAGCAGCGGCTCCTGGCGGGCAACGACCCTTCGGAGGACTCCATTGGCATCAACCAAAAAGTGCGCCGGAAGCTGGTCAAGTGAGTGCTGGAGGGTGTTGAGGCCTGTGAAATCTCTGAGGATGAGGATTAGGATTTTCTGCTTGAGCCTGTGGGAAAAAGCAAAAGTATTTTTTGGGTCAATGGGAATGATTTGGGTAGATCTTTTGTCGGTAAAGCAGGCAGTGATTCTCATGAGTATCAGCCAAGGATTGACTCTGAAAGGAATGTGGAAGAGACCTGGAGGGTTACAGATAACCCAGTGTTTGCAGCTCAGAAGGGATAGTGCGAAACAGAGACAAATTCATTGTTCCCAGAGTCTGAAAGATAAAGAAAGGGAACCCAGATGTGAGAGGGAATGATGTTATGGGCTAGAGTGAGTATGTTAAGGAATTGGAGTCAATGTCTGGTGTGGAGATCAACATTGGATTTTCATGTGTCAAGTCGCCTGTCTTGGAAGCTCCGAGTTAGGAATTCTGTTCTTGGGTCTGTCTCTGGTTTCCCTGTTTAAGTTCCAGGTCTCCTGTTTGGATTATAAATCTTGTTTCAAGCCTTTGGTAGAATGAAGACTTTGGATTATGGTCATGTTTATGTTTTCAAGCTTTTGGATATAATTCTACTTGCAAGTGCAAGAACCCTGGGGTTACAGTTTAAGTGATTTTGGAATTCTGATTCAGACTTGGTCCTTGCTTTTTGTTAAGCTTCTGGAAATCTATCTTATTGATGTATTTTGAAACAGTTTTAGATGCCCTTTTCTTAATAAATTTGTAATTCTTGTTCATCTGTGTGGTGTTTGGGTGAAAAGGGGATCAAGTAGGTGGCTGGGCTGCGACCGAAGGGTCCTCCCGATATGGAGGCTCCCTTCATTGGTTGGATTTTGGGGAAGGGTCCGCCTGTAGGTGGGGGTGGGTGGGTGGGAAATGCTGCTACTTATTCAGCCCTTGGAGGCAGTTCAGGTTCAAGGAGGGCCACCCAAGGATCCGGCAAGGGGTTCACCAAGACTGTATTGTTGAAGGCTTCTGTCATGATGACAGGGCTCTGCCGCTATTTGGTAGAGATGAACCAGACAAATACCCAGTTTATATCAAGCAGTTTAATTAAAGTAGCACTTTCTGGCTGTTTTAACAGTCCAAAATATAAAACATAAAGCCACAGAATATAAAACAAAAACAGCAAACACTGTTGCATGTTCAAGATAACACTGTAGTCAAAAGGTCCAGTCCAGTGGTCAAATGCCGAGAGTTCAACAAACAAAGTCCAGGGATCAAGAGTCCATACTGTAGTCAAAAGCCAGTCCAAAGATTCAAGGTTACAGGGTTCTAAGGGTTCAAGAGACAGGCCAGAATACCGAAAATCCACAAACCTGGGGGGAAACCAGAAGCATCTACCACCAATCATTCCCAAGGCTAGCTCATTATATCCAGAAACACCCAGCTGCAGCCTATCTCTTGCATACCTCCACCCTTAATTGCTTTCACTCATGAACTCTTACTTACAGATTACTCAACCCTTTAGAATTAAGACTTACATTAACCCTTCCATCACCAGTTGCTAGGCCTACCACCACCAACCACCACCAACTACAGAACATGATAGATGACAGCTTCCTTCCTTCCTCTTTTCCAGGGCACAGCTCCCGGAGTACATCCTGGACTTTGGCTACATCATCCTGGGCACCGTCCGGAGCCACATCGTCAAAATCACCAACACCAGTCCCTTCCCCGTCTCTTTTTATGCAGACACGCGGAACCTGCAGGACTCAGGTAAAAGGGAAACAGACATTGGGAGGCATTCTCAAGCCTTTTCCAATCAAGTCCGTTTCCTTACCTTTCCTTCCCTCGACCACCCCTCATGAGTGTTTTCAGGAGGCCCAGAAGATGGGGTGCTGGCCTCCTCTTGCTGCCCCCCAATCTATTCTGAGGGAGAATTCTGTTGCTGTTTGGAGGCAGGTTTCTGCACCGGGTTGGATCGTGTGAAGAACCTTCCCTTCTGCGAGACGGAGACCTTTGCCGTGCTCTTTGACCCGCAGAGCGCCAACCGGCCCCTCGGAGAAGTGGAGGTTGTCCTGCCCATCAAGGTGACGCTGCCCTGCACAGCCTCCCTCCCTCCTTCCCTTGCTTCCTGGGATCAGACCCAGAGATGCACCACAGGCTTCAGACCCTGGCCAGAATGCAAAGAGAGGGTCAGCGGTGTCGGTTGCAACCCCAAATGGGATCAGATCCCTTTCTCCGAGAGCACGCTCTCTCCTGGACCTGCGGAATCAGGATAAAGTCCTTCAGGGTTTGGAAAAAGGAAGCAGGGGGAGGAAACTGCATGGTCAACTGCATGGTCTGGCCTGTTCTGGAGGCTGAGGCTTCTCGGTCACCTTGCAGTTCCTTTTCAAGGGAGCTCGACCCCTGCCAAGTAGGTGTGTGCAAAACAGCACCGAATCCATTCTGATTTTGTTCCATTTTGGGGAGGATTCTTCTCGAAATGGAAACGAAACCAGAGTAGATTCACACTCTCCTACTGCCAAGTACTGTAATACCCACTAACTGTTGGCATGTGCCATGCTGTGCAAAAGAGGGGCACGCATTTCCCCCACAGGTCGTGTTCAGAGGGGCCTACGCACCTTGCTCCATTTTTCAAATGCACAGGGACAGGACGGGTGATGCCGAGCTCCGCAACGGAGATACTTGTGAAAGGGGTCTTGGAGTCTTAATGGACAACAAGTTAAACATGATCCAACAATGTGATTTCTTTTTTGTGTCAGGAGCGACTTGAGAAACTACAAGTCGCTTCTGGAGTGAGATAATTGACCATTTGCAAGGATGTTGCCAGGATGTTTTACCTGTGGGCAGGGGCGGCTCGTCCATTACGGGAAGTAAGCGGTCGCAGAACACTTTTTTTTGCCAGGGGCGCAGAGGCGCCTCTGTAAATGCCCCTCGACCGCCACTTGAGGAGCGCCCCCTCAGCTCACAACAGCCCTAGCAGTCCGGGGGGAGCCTCGGCTTTCTTGCCTCGCTGCCGGGCGATCCTCTTCCCAAAGGGGCCGGGCCCTTGAGCCTCGCCTCGCCCCTCTCGTTCCTGCTCCACCTGGCCACCGGGTGCGCGAGCAGAGCCGGCGCTCAATCGTTCTCCGCGTTCGATCCCTTCCCCATGACCGGCTCCCTTTCCCGATCCCCCGGCGCTCCACCCGCCTCCTCTCCTCTCCCAAATCCGCAGGTGGGCCAAGGGGCGGAGCCGCCGCGCCTGGCCCATTTCAGGTCCAGAGGCGTGTCTGAAGACCCCAGCGTGTGCACCAAAAGTTGCCTCTTCTCCTGACTTTCTCTTCAGCCATTGGGACCAAGAGAGAGAGAGAGAGAGAGAGAGGCTGGAGGTATCTCCCACCTCCGCTCCCTCCTTTGTTTTTGCGCCTACCTTCAGGAAAGGTGGGCATCTCCACCTCTCTCTCTCTCTCTCTTGGTCCCAATGGCTGAGGAGAAAGTCAGGAGAAGAGGTGACTTTGGTGCACATGCCGGGGTCTTCAGGCACGCCTCCGGACCCAAAGCGGCCAGGCAAGGGAGCAAGTGCGGCAAGTGTAGTTACTGGGATGTATAGTTCACCTACAATCAAAGAGCATTCTGAACTCCACCAATGATGGAATTGAACCAAATATGGCACACAGAACTCCCACGACGAACAGAAAATATATATCAGTGATTGGTTGGGGGGGGGGGCACCAAAATACTGTTTGCTTACCGTTGAAAATTACCTAGGGCTGCCTCTGCCTGTGGGAGGCTTTTCTCATGACCCCGCATGGGAAGCTGGAGCTGACAGATGGGAGCTCACCCAGCTCCCTGGATTTGAACCTCTGATCTTTCAGTCAGCAGTCCTGCAGACACAAAGGTTCAATGTCATGCAGCAACTCAAATTGCCAATGGGATTTTGGGCTGCATTCAAAGGAGAATAGTGTCCAGGTTGAGGGAGGTCATGGTGCCTCTATTCCACTTTGGTCAGCCCTCTGTACCTGGAATAAGACTGTGTCCCGTTCTGGGCAAAGCAATCCAAGAGGGATTATGACTCTATGGAAGGGGTCCAGAGGAGGGAAACCAAAAGGACCAAAGGTCTGGAGACCATGAAAAATCTCTCTGAGGAGCATCTTAAAGAACTGGGTTTGTTTAGCCTCAGAAGAGAAGGTTGAGAGGAGACTTCATAGGATGTCATAAGGAAGAGGGAGAGACTTGTTTTCTGCTTTTCTGGAGACTAGGACTCAATGGAATCATGGATTCAAATTGCAGGGAAGGAGATTCCACTCAAGATTAGGAAGAACTTCCTGATTGTAAGAGCTCACTTTGGTGGAAGCTCCTTAACAGAGGAGGGCTTTGATGGTGCTTTTCCTGCCTGGCAGAATGGGGTTGGACTAGATGGCCTCTGGGGTCTCTTCCAACTTTTATGATTCTAGGTGATCTCCGGGCCCACCTTCCACGTCTCCTTCCGGGCCACGGTGATCATGCCGTCCCTCTGCATGTCCAACGAGAACCTGGACTTCTCTGCAGTCCAGTGCGGCCAGTGCCAAGTGGAGACCATCCAGCTTCACAACCAGCTGCAGGTGAACTGCGAGTGGTTTGCTCACAGCAGCGAGCAAATGAAGAAGGTAAAGCAGGCTTCCCTTTCCCCTTTCCTTAGTCCTTGGCTTTCCTTAGTCTCTGTCTTTGCAATGGGATTATGTTTCAAGATCAAGGTGCTTTGGAGGTGAGAAATGATGTCAATGAGGTTCAAGATGGCAATGGTTTGGTCAATGATATTAATGCAGAGAATGACATAGAGACGCTGGTTCAAAGTGTAGTTTCTCATGAGAATGTTTCTACAGGGTATAGGGATGAAAGTTTACTCCCTGAATTGCTCCCAGAGAGTTCCCAGGATTCGGGGCTTGAAAACAACTCGGCACCTGCAGAAACTAATGAGCATATAGACAGGCGGGTGGAAATTAGCCAAAACAGACAGCTTGACCAAGGCCTTCGGCGTTCTGCCAGGCTTCATCAGATAAGGATGAGAGACATTCGGGGAAAATGAAACCAATTTCTGAATCCTTGGAATGGCTTAGTGGTATAAAGTTTCAAGCATGGGAAATATAGTCAGATGAAGCATCGTTTTAGAATCCTGCTAAGTTCTTGCTCTTGTCTCATGGAAGCCTTGCTTGGAAGATTCCTGTTTAAGGATTTCTTGCTGTATGTTTTGACTCTTTGTCTCTTGTGATTACCTATTCATGCCTTGGATTGTTTCCTTGTTTCTTTGGATTTTATTGCAGATGTCTGGACTTTGTTTTTTTAACTTTGCTGAACCCTACCTTGGACTAATTTGTTCCTGCTTATCTTCTTACCTAATTGGATTTACCTATTCCCTTAAAGTGTTTTTTTACTTTGCTGCTTTTACTTATCTTCAATAAAAAAGGATTGTTTTCCTACTCAACATGTGGTGTTTTAAAATCAGAGGGTTATTCCCAGAGGTCTTCTTGCAGCAGCACAAAGGTCCAGTTGTGATAGTGACTTGGTTGCTCCTCAGGTGGACAAGCACATGCCAGCGGCCTTGCGGCGGAAGTTGCGCCATGAACTGAAGACCAAGCCCTTTGTCTTTGAGATGATCCCTCCCTACGGGATCCTGGGCCCCGGAGAGCGGCTCAACGTCCAGGTCAAGTTTGCCCCAAGGGAAGAGGTAGGCGTGAAGGCACACCCTGCCCTGGACATCCCGGATCTGCTCTCCATGGAGTGGGTGGGCAATAGAAGCACAGTGTCCTTGGCACTCGTGAGGCTTTTGGCCCTAGGACAGGCATGGGAAAACTTCGCCCCTCCTTCAAGTGTTTTGGACTTCAGCTCCCACAATCCCTAACAGATTGGCTTGTTGTGGAAACAAGTGGAGGAGACCCCTTTTCCTCCTGATCATGACTCTTCCAGGAGTGGATTTCCCTTCCTTTCAAGGGGGAGATTTCATTCCTTGTTGCCCCAAACCCATTGTTCTTAATTAGGATTTGTTTGCAAGTCAAATGTCTGTAACTCTGAGGCTATGTATATATGTATGTATGTGTGTGTGTATATGAGATAGATATCATATCATATCATAGATTTGGAAAGGACCCCCAAAGGCAATCTAGTCCAGTCCCGTTCTTAACCAAACGTTGTTTGTAAGTTGTATGTCTGTAACTCAGTGACTGCATTATATACACACACACGCGCGCGCGATAGATATCATATTATAGATTTGGAAGGGGCCTCCAAAGGCCATCCAGTCCAGCCCTGTTCTTAACTTGGAGTTCTTAACTCCAAGTTAAGAACAGGGCTGGACTGGATGGCCTTTGGAGGCCCCTTCCAAATCTATAATATGATATCTATCATATTATAGTTGGATGTTTGTCACTCAGGGACGGCATATATATATATATATATATATATATATATATATGGGATAGATATAGTACAGGATCTCTCCCCCCCCCCCCCTCACCCTCTATCTACCTACCTAC